CAGAATCCTGTCAGCAAAGAAAATTGGCCAGCAAGACCAGAGCAAACCTCTTTCTTACAAATTTCCCCTCACTTTTAATGTCCTTTGTCTCTTTCTGCTAATATAAGTCAAATCTTGTCTTATAGCTTTCAAGTAATCTGAAATTAATGTAAAAGTCATGTCTGGGAGAGGGAAAGAGAGATCAAACCCTATAGGATGATCTAACAGCTGGGTAGCCCAGTGTCTTTTCAGTGACAAATGTTTGTTGCATTTTTTTTTTTTTTTTTTTTTAAGCCCCTGTTTGAGGTTCAAGTATGATTCACAACAACAGCAAACTACTTCAATCCTCAAGAATAACAAAAACAACCGTTATTAATTTGGGGGGGTTTTCCATGTCTGACCAAGTGCTGGAGCAGCTTCCCTGCGGATCAGCACCGCGGACAGCAGCCCCACCGGCTGTGCTTACTTTCATTGCCAGGCCCCAAATCCTTGGCTGATATCTAACAATTAATTTAAGACAACAGTCATTCCCAGAGTTAAACCCTCTAACACATTTTTTTCCCCACATTATTTTTCCACCACCACGTTTAAGTCTCTTACTTAGAGTGTGAAACGTTATCTTCTAGGCTATGGGGACAGCCTGGCATACTGAGAATAACTGTTCTGTTACAAGTTCAGAAATTGAGCATTTATTTTAAAGAGTGAATCATGTGATTTTTTTTTCTTTGTCTATCAGCTAAATTTGCTGTTTGTAAAGCACAAGGAGACAAATTTATTGGAAAATTCAAAGCAAGGGGCATAAAAAAAATACTGCTTACCCTGGAAATCATTTCCAGATCAATCTATAACAAAGTCACGTTACTATGTAATGTAGAACTGTCAGAAAAGAGTCAGCCAAAAATGAAAAGCCAACTCCAAAAGAGCAAGCATCAACAGACAAAGCTCCGGATGGAGATTCAGCTATATCTTGCATTTTAAAAAAAAAAAAAAAAAAAAAAAAAAAAAGTTTCTTCAGTATTCAGATTTCTCAGTTGGCATTCTGAGAATTTCATGTTTTTTTCCAGATGATATTGTAGAGGATATGACTTAAATTTAGGGCTGAACATCTCCTAAACTTTGTCATCTTCATGAGAATCTCTTTTAAAGGGGCATGAAGGTCCATACACTGATCAAGAAAGGTGGGGTATTACTCCCTAACATATACATCTTTCTGTAAGCAGTTCTCTCTGTACTCCTTCCTCTACATCCTCCCCGGCAGTGACTGGCAGTCATCACTACAGGACCAGCCTGAGACATGCTTGAGACACAGGGCCTGAGAACTTGTGAGTAACAATATTGAGAACAAGGAATTGTGGTCATATTTCTGATGCTTATGTCCATCCAGAAGTCAGAGGGTGTGCACTTGCAGTGGACTGCAAAGGATGACATAATAATGAGCTCAGAGAATTAATGGAGGTGAAGGAAGGGAGCAAGGAAGTCTGCTGGAAAGCAGGGAGAGGAAGGAAATGGTCTGGGATTCAACTGTGAGAGGTCAGACATCACGAGGGTAGTGCAAGTCAGATGTGAGGCAGAAGGCAATCCTGATCAGGGATGACTGTGAAGAAGCAGTTACTACAAAGTGATGCATGTTCACCTGCACGGTTCCTGAAGACGTGGAGAAACCTTGCCAGGCTTCTCTCAGGGCCTTCTTCTCTGCAAGCACTATCATTTTCACTATGTTTATTCCTCTGACAGCTCTGTTTCCAGCATAAACAGGCTGCCTTGTCTTTGCGCCCCTTACAGCCTCTGCTCAGCTCCCACACTCTGCCAATTCCCTGGGTGAAAGCAAATTGCCTTTTCTTCTTCTACTTTCTTTAAAAAAAGAACAACAGTAAGTGTCCTTTAAATTTTCAGTTAAACTGGAAGGCAATTTCTTGCATGAGAGCTCTGTCTAGATAGGCTTACAGCTGAACAAAAATAAATAAATACACCGAATAACCTCTCCCATGCCCACCTTGTCTTAACAAAGTGCTACTTGACAAGTGTTATTTCAATAGAAATTTTTGAACAGGCCAACTGACACTGATTCAGCCTTCAGCAAGGACTACAGCTCCCTCTGTCCCTTCTGTGTCAGACAGGAAGGAGGCGAAGTTGCCCAAGGTTAAGAATGCACACCACCTTCCTGGGCAAAGATTGTACGGGGTCTTCAAGCCATGTTCTGAAATAGATTTCAGGGTCTCCAATGTGCCTCCTGTGATTTCTGTGTGACAGCTGTGTTTGGTTGCAGTGTTGTCATCCAGCAGTGGTTTGCGAGTCTATATGATGACTGAGGCAGAGAAGCCACTGTGGTCACCCATGCTGGCACTCTCTTTACAAGGAGAAACACCATCCTTAGAACATTACAATCAGGGCACTGCTCCTATACTCAGCTGAATGCTTCAGCCTCACAGGCAGGCATGCCCCCCCACAAGGTGCTGATCTACGTTTCACTCTGGCAGAATTGGAGCTACGAGAGGTGGATGAGGCTAGATCTCAGAGGAAAGACATTTTGATAGAGATTGTGTTGTTACTATTATTTAAACCAGCTTGTTTTAATCTCTGTTAATATTAGTGAAAGTCTGCATAAGCAGAAAACAAATCCTCTGGTGATGCATACTGAATTACTTTTGTTTTAACCCCATGCCCTAGTCCATGCGTTTGCTTAGTTTGGGGTTTCCTTTGCGCCTTTCAATTTCTATTTGCTGTTTTGCAACTGAATTTGCTGGTTCTCAACCTTTTCCATGCTGCACTCTCCCCCTTTTCCAAAACCTCACTCTTCTCCCCAGCTGGGAACAATTCAAGATATCCCTATAGAAAGAGCCCAGCAAGAGCATCATGGCTGCTATTTCTGCCTGCCCAATCCACCTCCACAAAGCAAAGAAGTAGCCTGATCTGCGTATTGGCCACTGTAGGGTCCCTGCTTCTCCTCTACCTGCCACATTGTATGCATTAAGCACACTGCCACCATGGAAGGGGATGACTGATACAGCGCTAGTCAAACTTAAAGACTTTTTAAATTCAAGATTTGCAATGAGGTCAAGGGACCTTTTGAAGTGCTGAGGTATTGACTCTCTCCCAGACCTTCCCTTCCTTCCTGCCCTTCCTTGTCCCTAATCCTCTCCCCAGCCTTGAAATGAAACAGAAAATTATTTTTTTAAAACTGCGTTAATATGTTATGTTTAGTATAAACAATGATTTTATGGCATCACCAAAGGTCATTTTTTTCATCTCTACGTTACCACCCCAGCTTCTGAAGCCACATGCCTTCTTCTCCCTCTAGTACTACTGGCCCTCCCTTTCATTCACCGTCAGCATTCCCCCCCATTCACCACAGCACCTCACACCCAGAGATGTGCATCAGGTTCACCCAATGAGCGCTGGAGAACAGATTTCCCACCAACTGGAACCATTTCCATGTTCAAAATAGGCAGTTGCTGCAAATGAAAAGCAGACTCATTTCTTATGTAATTTTTTTTTAAAGCCTTTTATACCTATTTACATGTGTGCGTGCACCATGTGTACACAGGGGTATCTGTGCATACAGATGCACAAGAATCTCTCTCTCTCAAATATGAATATATTGTATGTTAGAGCTGTAAATATTCCTTGGTCACGCGTCTATGTCTTCTTCAAAGTATCATATCTCCTCAGTGTTACGTTAACAACTCCACTTACTGATCGATGAAACTGTGTGTAGACCTGTACCCTACTGACATAGTTTATGTAGCTCTCTCTTCTCAAATAAAGTACAAAACTACTTACTAGCTGGTCCTGCTTTCTGTTCTACGTCGGATATTCTGCTTTAATTTATAAAAACCTACGCTGCTGCATTTTCCAACCATCCCCACAGCAGAGGCACATCCACACCATACTTTAGACCTGGTCAACAAGTATGACAGCTATAACAAAATATAGTAATCTATAGGTGAAATGTTGCCTCAAGTACTTTAAATGACCTTATTCACTCTTCCCACCAACTCCCAGGCGCAGCCTTCAACAACCCCAGCTCACTTCCAGCCCAGTAGAGATGACAGAGCCCGTGCTGCTTTTCCCCTGGCAATGGTGTCCACAGCCCTGGATTAAGCAACTCCTCACTGTGCAGAAATTTCTCTGTGACTTAAAAAGGAGTCAGTAGCTGCCCTGTTGTGTTGTTGGTTTGTTGTTGCCTGGAGAGCTCAGCACCTGAACTCAATACCCCACATAAACCTTGGGGCAAGGAACAAGATTAAAGAACATAGCAAAATTCACCCTTGTCACCATGACTCTTGACATTGGTTTCATGGAGAAAGCACCAAGACCAGAGGATATTTCACCACTGCAAGCTGAAAAAAAAGCCTTTGCACAGCTACACTTACAGGGCAAAGCCATAAAGGTGATTTGTGAAGTAACGTTTAATTTACTGCAAACGACACCACACTCCAGCTGCCAAGAATTTGACTGACAATTTCTATTTATTTATATCCTGCTATACAATATCTGCATTAATGTTGTAAATTTTTCTGATTGGAATTTTACAGTGTCTGCCTCGATATTTATTGATCATAAAATAATCTGCACAACCTGCTATATTCAAGGCAGGGAGAATGGATGCCAGAGAAATCATTTGACAGGATTTGGGTACCTGTGTCCAGGTAACAGAAGACGCTCAGATGGTGTTTTTACGGCTTTATGTATTAATCAAGAACCAGCCTTTTGAGCTGCTTTTCTGCCATACCCCCAAAGCCTCTTCTGAAACATTTCCAAGAGCCTGCTATTGGTTTATCTACCAGCAACTCCATATGGACCCTGCAACTTGCCTCATTTGCAGCTTCTCACTCTTGAGAAATCCCACCTTCACAATGAAATCTGGTATTTTCACAACTGTTCACTAAAACAGCCTATGAGGGAAGGATTTGGCTTTTTCAACAGCAGTGAGACCACCCTGTATCTTTTGATTTTGGCAGGAAAAGACAGAAGCATAAAATTTCTGCCCACAAGGGAAAAATTATGAAACGTGGTCTCACCTGGGAGTTTCCCTATTGCCTGGTAAACAGTCTTCTCTTTCATTCACAGTTTCAGCTATGCAGCTTTCCAGCATCTTCAGTGGATTCTGCCTCCTGAATTTGGGCTTTTTTGTTGTTGTTGTTTTTGCTAGAAGAGATCTTTGGTCCCCTGCAGAAATCAGAGTAGTGCATGCTGGAAGGAAGCACACAAGTGTATCTGCCCGTGTGCTCTTGGTCACAGTTAAGCCCACCTTCCATTCATCAGCATCATATAATCACTAAGGTTAGAAAAGACCACAAAGATCATCAGCTCCAACCATCAACCCATCCCCACCATGCCCACTATGTCCCTCAGAGCCACATCTCCACTGTTTTTGAATACCTCCATTGACACCACCTGTCCTCCCTGTCCACCCCTCCTTTGTACAAGGCAGCACCCAAATCTTCCTTCCCTTCAGCTTCTGTAATCTGCCATTGCAACACCTGTGCAAAGACCCTTGGCAGCCATGTCAAGCCTGCAGGTGTGCACATACATACATACACATCCCTACTAATCCAGTAAGGACATCACCAGCTCAGGACACACAGATTCTCATCCACCCTTCTGCTGTCCCCAAGGCACCCTTCCTTTGAGTACAGACACCTTCTCTCTACACGAATACACGTCTCATGCCCAATCCACCACACAGATACCTTCTCCCAGTGCAACCCTTCTACAAACCCAGCACACATACACCCTGCTACTCCTGCCCACCACTCCTCTGCCTGCTCCTGCTCTCATTCATTAAGAGCCCAGATTTAGCTCTCTCCTCTCCCCATGAATGCTGCACTAGCTATTTATTCCTGCTGCTTTCTAAGACCCACAACCTCACCCCTCATTAAACAGCTTTCTCTTCTCTACATCAGCATAACAAACCAGAGGCTGACAGTTTGCATTTTAACCTCATTAGCTGTGGCCTGGCAGCTTGATGGACAAGGTTCCCTTTTGCTATTGATTTAAGGCATTTATGCAATACAGACCCTTTGAAATTCATTAAAAATACAGTAAAAGAAAACAAAAAAACCTCTTCTATGTGACCAAGTTCCCTAGGAATCCCCCCATAAAATGCCCCCTCTCAGTGCACATTAGAGGTCCCTGCTATTTGTCTTTGCCTATCCTGGATGAGGTGGTTACATGAGTGTGCAGCAGCTGGCGGAGCATCTAATGGAGCTGGGAATAAAACCACACCAAAGTAAAACAGCAGCTGAGGCTGCCTACAACTGGGCTGTCACAGCAGCACATGCCCTGGATCAGACAGCATCCCCTATGGGCAGGGAGGCAAAGAAAGGACGGGTTCTGCTCGAGGCTCCCTGCACTTCATTCCTGCCACAGCCACTGTCAATCGGCTCAGGCATACACAGTAACCTTTTCAAGCTCCATAAAACCCTTCACAGATTATCCTTTAGAAAGCAGGAGAGGGAAGCAGACCCCTCTGTCCCCTCCGGGCAGATGGAAGAGAGAGGTCCTGGCCTTCCCCCGGGTTGCAGAGCTCCAGATGAAAGGTTAACGGCACGATGCAATCATAAGGTACAAGCACAGGGCAGGAGCAGGGGAAATTATTTCCTGCTGAATTGTGGCTGCCGTTATTCCCAGAGAAAAGCAGCGGGTATTCAGGAGCTTCTCATTAGCCAGCATGATTTCCATTAGGCTGTCTATTAACATTTTGTGGCCGTAATAAACACCTACATAATTAACACAAAAAATGAGCTCTCTCTAGGCTAAGACAGGAGGCCAGAACAAGCTGGGAATAGCAGAGACAGGTTGGTTCCTGCCTGGAAATTTCTGCCTGCAAAGGAATTGCTCCTTCCATCCTCCCATGACAAATTCCCTTAGAGTCAGGATTTAGTGTTCCAGTCTTCCTGGCTCAGTCTACACTTACCTCTAGCATGCAAGCCAGAACGCATTCTTACAGAGCAGGGTAGAATTTATCTTGCAGATCCCACCGGGGAAATTTGGGGCAGCCCGGTATTCCCCAGTCCCCTGCCACAGCAGTGTCTTCCTCCTAAAAACTGATGGGGCAAGAAATACCTTGGGAAACACGCGTGTGATCCCAGCTAGCAGACGAGCCTCAGGAGCTCATAAAAGGCCCCCATGGAAAGAAGATGGGCTTATTACAACTTGAGCGTGTTTACAACCATGAAGTACTCCAACACTTCAGGTCTGCAGTGAATTAATGGAAACATTGCAACAGAGAGGGAAAAACAGACCTGCCTAGTGCATCCATCACTGGCTTTCCGTGCCTCCTCCATCCTGCTCCATGCCTTAACAGCCATTTCTGAATATTGCAGTCACAGGGGGAGCTTACAGGTTGCTATGACTCCCCCCCAACCCCTCCTCCCCAGCTAATTGCCAACAGTGCCATGGGTAACCCCATGCACGGGAGGCTGAGGACGTGTCACTTTGACAGGGCTGCCTGTCCCTCGCCTCTGGCTTCAGACTTCTCCTACTAAGAATACGTGTGCCCTTTATCATGGCTTTGAAATAGAGAGAGACACTTTGGAATTCAATTAGTCAAACAGTTGCCACAGCAACAAAAACATATAAACTTAAATGATTTATACTTGCAGACACCACTTCAAATAGGAATAAATTTAATACAGCAGCTGGGAATGAAATGCATTGTACAATAAGAAAATTGTATTTTTTCTCTCCCCGATGATAGGCCTCAAGGTCTTAATGCAATATAGATGAAAAAAGATATTTGGGCAGAAGGAAGCAGAATACATTGTGCTGTATGTACAATGCCTGCTTGGAGAGTACAACACATAATGAGCACGTACATCTAATCACAGAGCTCCAATTCTGTTTGCAGACAGCCACAGATCAAAGATTGCAGCTAGCAAATTGACTGCTTGGTTTCACTTTCTTTCTTTGACTCCCTTCCATTTCATGAAACCTTTCCTGTCAGCCCCCGCCCAGGAGTGAAACAAATCTAACCTTATTCCAGCAGCTTCTCTATCTGCTATAGAGCCAAGTCCCAGCTTGGTAAAGCGAGATTTGTGCCTGTGTTTATTTTCAAGCAGAAATGCTTTAGTTCAAGCACAGTTCTAAGATTCAAAGTAGAAATTAATTCCAAGGAATGTGCAGGAAAATATTTCCTCTGCAGGAAAACTGCAAAAGCTTGCAAGCAGATCTAGAATAGCCTATCCAAGTGATAGCCACCCACAGTAGTTTTGCCCATGACAGGCTGGGTGTGTGGTGAAAGCCACCTTTCCTGCAGCTCTCTTTTGATTCCAGATTCTCTGGAGTCTACCTCAATTGAGGCACCAAAGCCAGCTGCTGTCAGTGCTTGGCAGTGCCTGGATCAGTAACAGACAACATCCAGAGCAAAACGAAGTGGCTCCAACCACTGCCCTTTTACCATTTACCATCACCCACACCACCACCCACCGTTTTCCTAGGAGGCATTTTGGAAGCCATTGCCTACACCCAACAAAGCCTGATCAACATCGAAATGCACTACCTGCAGTGGGAAAGAGGTTTTATTCTAACCATGAACAAATACACAAACAGAAAGGCTGCAATTCTACCAGAAGTCACGGGCTCCTCAAAGGAAAAAGAAGAAGAAAAAAAAAAAAAGCAAAAAACATCACACAGTGAGGTTTTTTTGCTTGTTTTAGGCAGGAGGTCAAGAGTACTGCTCATCATCAGAGCTGGCAGGTGGGGGAGAGAGTTCATGATGCTTTGGGCACAGATCTAGATTAACACCTGCAATTCCCTTTAGCAGCTTTGGAAAGGAAAGCATGCAGATGCAGAACAACAGCTAAACAAAGCTAATAATGCATTCATATTTATGTAGACAGGAAGGAAGCTCAATTGCCAGGAGAGTACTGAGGTCTACAAGTGTAAATACATACCAAATAAGTCAGCTTGATGAGATGCCAAGTTTGTTCAGCAGAGTGTGGCACTTTACTGCTGAAGTGCTCCTGTAGCAGGGAAACCAGGAAGATGTCAAAAAGGTCAATGGGTGAAATGTGTAGCTCCATTAAGAAACTATGAAAACAAGTTTGTATCAATACGGTTTAGTGCTATGTTTCTCAATTGCAAAGTGCCCATTGGTCCTGCCATACTGAAGCACAAACATCTTGCTCCAGAGCTCTGTGTACTGTTGATCTACAGCTCGCAAGGCAAAAATAGAAAGAACACATTTATAAACAAAGGAGCAGAGTTACTGAGTTTAACAGCTGGAAGGCTCCAGATTTCATGCACAAACTCACAGAAACAAATTCTGTCATCTGGCAACACTGAGATAACCAGGGTTGTAGATGTACAAAGATGATCCATGAGGATGTACCATCCTCATAGAAGGCACCTCTCTTCTAAACAGGGGACAAGAGATCTGGGCTTGTTCAGCCTGGAGTAGAGAAGGCCCCATCCCTAAAAGTGTTCAAGGTCAGGTCAGAAGGGGTTTTGGCAACCTGGTCTAATTGAAGTTATTCCTGCCCATGGCAGGGGGCTGGAAATCCATCTTTAAGGCCCCTTTCAACTGAAACCACCTGATGATTCTATGATGTAGTGAAGCCACTGTGTGAAGATTTGCAGGACACGTATCACCAATATTTGGCTACAAAAAGTAAATTAGTAGTTTTACAATATCTCTGAGCCTCTTCTCTCAAACTGGACCATTCACAGGCTCTGAGTCAAGGAAAGCTACTGTACATAACAGTACAATGCATCTCTTACGATGTTTAGAGCCATCACAATATTTAGACCATGAATCAACCTTCCACAAAGATTACCAAAGATCCTGAACAGTTAGGGGATAGAAGTAGAACAAAAAACTAACATTCAACTTGTGAAAGCAAATGTCTTGACTCAGCTGGGAAGCCCCCTCCATCTCCCTTTTCCTATGAAGGTAACATCTGTTCTACAACTTCCCTGCTCCATCTCTCTTCAGTACAATAGCACGAAGAACAGCAAGCTGGCATGTCCAACCCCACGCCACTGCTTCTGGATTAGAGGACGAAGCAATTCAGCAGCCAGCTCCCCAAGCCACAAACTACATTCATCATCATCTTTACAGGCCCATACACAGCTGGCTCTCCTGATGATAATGTGTTCTACAGTTTCCCTTGCTGGCGTGGCTTATGTTAATACTCCATTAACATTGCTAATCAGAGGCAGACTTC